TCCCCTCCCAGTCCCTCTTCGCCTGGCCTGAGAAGGTAAGGGCGATGGCAGGGGATGGAGAAGTGACCAGGGCAGAGACAGAGAGATACAGAGAGGAGAGGGGAGAGAGAGGGAGAGAGAGAGAGATGTCAAAAGGGTTTTGTGGTTCCTGGTGTTTTTTAACCGATTCTCTGCCCTAATGACCTGCTGGGTAGGCATAGCTGGGGGGTGGATGGGTCATGTGACTGGTGGAAGTGACTGATGTCGAGTTGGCCACACCCACCCAGGTTTTGTGGCTCCCGGTGTTTTCTTTTCTGTAGGAAATGGGTCCAAATGGCTCTTTGAGTGTTTAAGGCCCCTGCCCTAAGCCTAAGGTGACCAAGCAAACACTTTTGTTTCAAAGCAAACAACTAATGAAGATAGGGTAGTTTTCAGAAAACTCCAAAGCTGTCTCTGAAGACCAATACCAATTGTTCTTCGTTCGGAACGAATATGTTCTTCGTTTCCCACAATTTGCTGGCCACGAGGGATATGACCAGGAGCAGGGGTGAAATGCTCCTGGTTCGGACTGGATCACCCGATCTGGTAGCGATGGCGGTGGATGGTTCGGAGAACCGGTAGCAAAAATCTCTGCGGGCTCCCCCTCCCCACCATGCCCAGCTGAGCCACATGATCATCAGAGGCTTTTTTTTTTTTTTATTTAAAAAACTTTTTTTTACCACCCCTTCCGATGAAAAAAAGCTTTTAAAAGTAAAAAAAAAAAAAGCCTCTGATGATCATGTGGCTCAGCTGGGATTGTCAAAGGCTTTTCAAAGCATTTTTTTCTGCAACCTCTTGGCCGAAGAGGTGGTAAAAAGAACGCTTTGAAAAGTCTCTGATGATCCCAGCTGAGTTGCCTGATCATCAGAGAGGCTTTTCAAAGCATTTTTTAAAAAGCCTCTCTGACGATCCCAGCTGAGTTGCCTGATCGGCAGAGGCTTTTCAAAGCATTAGAAAAAATGCTTTGAAAAGTTAAAAAAAAAAACGTTGGCCCCGCCCACCCAGTCACATTACCCCCCCCCCCCCAAGCCATGCCCACCGAACCGGTAGCAACAAATTTTACATTTCACCCCTAGCCAGGAGGGAGCTGGTATAACAGCCAGACGGGGAAATTCTCTTGTTGTGAATTTTCATAATGCACTACTATTGGGAGAAGAATACTTCCTGATAGGCACTCATTCAGTGTTTGTCAAACTTGGGTTTTTCAACCTTTTATGCAAGTCAGTACAGGTAATCCTTGATTTACGACCCCAGCAGAGCCCCACATTTCTGTTGCTAAGCAAGACAATCGTTCAGTGAGTTTTTCCCCATTTTATGACCTTTTTCGGCCCAGTTGTTAAGTGAATCACTGCCGTTGTTAAGTTAGTAAACACGGTTAAGCGAATCTGGCTTCCCCGTTGACTTTGCTTGTCAGGTCGCAAAAGGGGATCACATGACCCCCCCCCAAGGACACTGCAACCATCATAAACATGAATCAGTTGGCAAGAGTCCGAATTTTGATCACGTGATCACGGGGATGCTTCAATGGTCGTAAGTGTGAAAAACGGTCATAAGCCACTTTTTTCAAAGCCGTTCTAACTTAGAATGATAACTAAATGAACAGCTTGTTAAGTTGAGGATTACTTCAATACAATTTGTTTTAGGCAGTAAGAGAATAACAGAGTTGGAAGGGACCTTGGAGGTCTTCTAGTCCAGCGGTCACCAACTGGTGGTCCGCGAGAAAATTTTGGTGGTCCGCAGAAAAAATATTTGCATTTTTTATACTGCACTAAATCAGAGGTCCTCAAACTACGGCCCCTGAGCCGGATACGTGCAATGAACGTTTGTGTTGCTGCAGAGGTCTTTTTGTCCCGGTGGGGGGCGGGAATTCCGACTTGGTGTCTGCTTCAACCTCCTGGTGCAGAGCTTTGGGTGAAGGCTGGAGGGAAGCGCCGCTGGTGGTGAAGAGCCGGTGGGCCTTGTTCCAGTGGGACTGCATCATGGCCTGGAACTGGCTGACTATCTCAGTCCGCCGAGCCTCCAGGCGCCAGTACCTGGCCTTGCACTCCTGCAGGTCTTCCCTCTGCTTGGAAAGCCTATGCTCGTAGTCCTCAGTGAGGTGCTTCTGCTGAGCCTCCTTCTCAGTCAGATCCAATTTGAACTGAGCCAGCTGTTTGGCCAACTCTTTCTCGTGGTGGTTGCTTAGCTTCAACAACTGCTTCCTGTTGGGGCCCTAAGGGGCCCGGGCAGGCAGGGGAGGAGTGGCTGAGACGGGAGGGGTGAGTAGAGGCCGGTGATGCACCCCTTGACGTGAGTGACATCGAGTTGGTGACGCCCACCCAGTCACATGACCACCTAGCCACGCCCACCCAGAATTAGGCAGCTCATATTAGTGGCCCGTGGGATTTAAAATTATGAACTTAATGGTCCCTGAGATCTGAAAGGTTGATGACGCTTGTTCTAGTCCAGCTTCCTGCTCAGGCAGGACACCCTGCACCATTTCAGACAAATGGTTGTCCAATCTCTTCTTAAAAACTTCCAGTGTTGGAGCACCCACAGCTTCTGGAGGCAAGTCATTCCACTGATTAATTGATCGAGCTGTCAAGAGACAATAACATACTACTTTCTACTTGTAGTGTGTTATTGTCTGCCAGGCATTTAATATTCGTATGGGAAATGTAGTCCCTGGGCATGCAGTGAAATAGGCAATTTATCAAGTCCTACACCGATGAGCATCCTTGATTGATTCTGTTCAGCATGGCGGTCTTCCATTGTATAAAACTTGTTCCAAGTTGATTTCTGTTGATTTCTAGTTTTTTTCTCCTTTCAGTGCAGTGTTGGAAGAAACTTCATAGAGAATTGGGGGTAATGCCGTTAGCAATAACTGAAATGAATTCCTATTTCATCTGAGCCAAGAAATCACGGTATTTCCTGAGTAATCTGGACTATTAAAATGAGTTTAATGTTGGGTTAATAAACCAAGACTGTCCCTTGAATATAATGTCCCAGCTTGAATGCTATTGGAATATGAGAGTTAATAGAAAATTTCCTAGTTCATATGAAAGAAAAAAAAAAAAAACCCAAAAGCTGCGAGTGTGAGCAGAGGTTCACTCCTAGTTTATGAAGGGAGGTTCATTTTTTAATCTTCCAGAGGAGTGGAAATCTTGAAATATAAGTTTTATTAGAAAGAATGGGTTTTTTGATTTGTACAATGTACATTGGCAAGCGGCAACTATCTGGAATGCATAATGCGACACTGTTTTAGTGCAGGAGAGTACAAATTGTTGGCTATAAGCCAAAACTTAAAATGTTTTTGTTGGGTTCTGTTTTCTGCAGTCAACTGTAGTTGGTGAAAATTTTGACATTTGGGGTTTTTGAAACACCCACTCTTATTTCAGATTTTACATTACAGATCAGGGTGGATAAAAATCAATGATTTTTTTAAAAAAATCAAAAAAATCAGATTTTTTTCATTTAAATCGGATTTTTTTTATTTAAATCGGATTTTTTTGATTTTTATCGAATTTATTTTAATAAAAAACTTTTGGGGTAAAAATCTATCGTAAGATAGTTTTCTATTTAAGATACATAAATAATTTAGTTTATTCAGCATGAAATGGAGCTTAGTTATGTAGCATGAGGCTGTATATTCTGCAACACTGGGACTATCGGTGAGTCAACAGCGGGTCAAAGGAGTAGCAGAGATGACAGTTGCTCTTTAAAAATTATGACTTAAATCGAGTTGATTTAAATCAAGTCTTTTTACTAGTGATTTAAATCATGATTTAAATTGACTTGATTTAAATCAAATCCACCCTGTTACAGATGGTCCTCCTCAGGTAATGGCCACATGTTGAGCGACTGAACTTGCAACCGTTCTGAATAAGTGATACTTACAACCGGTCCTCGGAATTCTGGCCATTGCAGCCCCCATGGTCACTTGATTGCCATCCAGGTGCTCAGTAACCAGGGGTGGGCTGCTTGGGGTTCGGGAGAACCTCTAAATAAGATTCTGTGCAGTTCGGAGAACCTCCAAATCCCACTCCTGGCTGGCCACACCCACCCCTCCCCTCCCAGGAGTCCCCACGTGGTCTGTTTTGGATGCAGGTAAGTGCAGGGCATGCGCAGAGGCTCGGGGAGGGCAAAAACGGGCCTACTGGAAGTTCGGGAACGAGGGCCTCTAGAGCCTGGGGAGGCCGTTTTCGTCCTCCTGGAGGCTCAAGGAAAGCCTCCAGAGCCCGGGGTGGGCAAAAATCCCCCCCCACCCACCGTGGTGCAGGAGGCAGACTAGGCCACTCCCACCATGGCCACACCCACCCAGCAACTGGGCAGAGAACCCCTTGCTAAAATTTTTGAAGCCCACCCCTGCCAGTAACTGACCATTGCAATATCACACGATCACAATTTGTGACTTTCTCTGCTGGCTTTCGACAAGCAAAATCAAGGAGTCGTGGTCATGTGAGATCCTCGCTTAGTGACCCTTGATGATTTGCTTAACAGTGGTGACCAAGGACTCCGTTCTCTCACCTTGGGGAATCTTGGTGGCACAGCGGACTAAAGTGGTGTTAAGTAGCACTTAGCTGCCAGCTGCCTGCAGTTACTGCAAGTTCAAATCTCACCAGGCTCAAAGTTGACTCAGCCTTCCATCCTTCTGAGGTAGGTAAAATGAGGACCCGGATTGTGGGGGCAATAAGCTGACTTTGTATAAAATAGAACACCGCTTAGGGGGGCCCCCAAAACCCTACTAAGCAGGTATATACAAAAGTATGAAGGCTATTGCTTAACGCATTGTAAGCCGCCCAGAGTCTCCAGAGAAGGGCGGCATATAAATCGAACCAATAAAATGAATAAATAAATAGCACGCAAAGATTTGAAGAATCAGTTTTTTCTCTGAGCTATTTGGAGAATCAAGTTTCTCCTGCTCGTTTTCTCAGCTAATGTCGAACACGGGTGTTGGTTTAAAAAAAAAAAAATGAAAGGGAATTGGCATCTCTAAAGGTAAATTTGTTCCCTTCTTCCTCTTTCTCCCTCCTCCTTTCTTCCTCCCTGTCCCATGATGCATTGTACCTCGGCAAGCTGATGCCATATAAAAAAAAACAACGGGTTGTTACGCTGCCCATTCTTTTGATGGCAGAAGGGTGGGCAGAACCTGGCACCATTTGGAGAGGAAAAACTCCAGCCTTCCGACAGTAGCCTCCTGGGCATGTATTGTCTGACCTACTCCATCCCCTTCCTGGTATCCCTGAGCCTCCTGCAGTCAGAGGGGACAAGGCGGGCATCCAAAAAACCCGAGCGGGTCCTAATCCCGAAGGGAACCAAGAATCACCCACCCAAGGGGGTAAGCTTTTATTTGGGCTCTGTTCTTTCTCCTTTCCTCTTCCCCCTTATTCATCCTTTTTTTTTTGGGTGGTGGGGAGAAAAATAAAAGTACAGTAGTTATCTATGAACATTTATATCGTTCAACATTTTGTCTCTCGTTTTTGGCTCCGTTTCTGGGTTCCGAAAAGCAGCAAAGAGTTAGAGAGAGAGAGAGAGAGAGAGAGAGAGAGAGGATCACGGCTGTTGGGATGAAGGTTGGCAAGGAAGCCGTGAGACAGAGGGAGAGAGGGAGGGAGAAAATAAAACTGGCACAGGCTGGAGGTTTGCCAAGGTTGCTTGGCAGAGATGCCATAGAAAGCTGGGCGAACACGCACATGGTAATGTATATTTCGGAAGAGAAATGCTGAAAAGCGGAGGGGGGGAGTGGAGGTTTAGGGGAACAGAATGAATCGCAGATCCTTGATCTGGGCACCTGTTTGTTTTCTTTTAATATGGCAAATTGCTTCCATCTTTTCCTTTGATTTCCCCCCCCCCTTCTCCTTTTCTTGCGGTTATTGGATGTTCATTATGTAGCACATGAGTACCAAATGCAAGAGAGTTGCGTTTAGGGAACGCAGGACTTCCTGTACTGATTGATTTGAATCTGGGCCAAGGAAATAATGTTGACTGCTATCTTGCCTGGAAGAAGGGGGAAGGAGGGAGAGGAATTGGCTGCCAGCTGCCAAGCTGCCTCCCCACCTTGGCAGGGAATCGTCGAACGGATCCAAACGGGCCTCCGGTGGCGCCTTTGGACTTCTCTTTGGATATTGGTTAGGGGGCCCCTGGATTCCCGATGTGACTTTTTCACAGGGGACCCCTTCAACCTTGGAGGCAGGTAGCCCCAGAACAGGTAAGGAAAACCTCTGGGCCAGCTGTGGTTCCTTTGTCTGGTTTAGTTTTCAGAAGGATGCCAAAGCTGGAAACATTTGCATCCGAAGTCCATGAGAACGGGGTTGGCACGGGGTGTAGGGTCGGCGTGGGTGTTTTTTTTAGGGGTGGGTGTGTAGCTTTTAGCCCCTCTTTGGGAAAAAAAAAACAGTCAAGAGTCGATCCGTGCTTTGTCGTGTCTCCTTTCTCAAACCGTACGGCATGTTGGATTGTAGCCGTGCGTCTGTTCTCTTGAGATGGTTCCCTTTGGCCCACCGTGGGGCTGCCTCTACCTTGCTGATACCCTTCGGCATCTGGTCTTTGGTCCTGGGCATCGAGATGCTTAAGAAGGTGAGGCAGAACTGAAGCACAGCTGCAGTTTTTCTGGTTCAGGATTGCCAGCTTTTTGTAACTGCCTTTGGTGGGTGTGGTGCGGAAGATGGGTTAAAGCTGGCCAGGAGCTCCTGCCTGAAGGAAGTTTGGACAGGATGCTGTTCGCTCTAAGATGGACCTAGGAAAAAGAAGGAATTTCCTGCTAGGATCTTCGCCGTGCTGCTCACTTTGAAGCCTCTTCGATAGAGCTGCTGGTGTGTCTCGGCTGCCTTTGTAGGTGTGAGACATCCAGGGAGACAAAAGAAATTACAGTCTCGCTGAACTTAAATAAGGATTGGAAGCAAATGAACCACATTTATGCTTGGGTGCTCCTATCTTTCCTGGGGTGCCCCCCCCCCAGTCGACGTCTGTGATGTTTTGGTCATTGTATTTTTTTAAAAAAAAACATCTCAGGACCATCGGCACACCCAGGTGGGAGATACCATGCTTCAGCCTGAATTTGCCTGGGTTTCTGAAAATTAATTCCTTAAGTAAAGTGAAGGTTTTTGTTTTTTTTAAAAAAAAATTCTGAATAGAAATGAGAAAATGTTTCAGGATGCAGGCTGCAATATTTGACACTGCAGCCGGCAGGCTCTGTTTTGAAGTTGTAGGTACAGAAGAAACACAAGCAGAGATCTGATCTAATGCAGTATAGCTAAAAGAAGGGGAAATATCCTTTAAAAAAAAAACATATTCTAAGATGGAGGCAGAGGCAACAGAAATTATTGTAGGGGTTAAAGGAAAGACTGCATTATTTGTAGCTTAGAGCCAAGGTAGTCAGCAAGAAACTCAAATAAAGGTATGTATACAGGTAGTCCTCGTTTAGTGACCGCAGTTGGGACCAGCAACTGTCGTTAAGCAAAGCAGTCACTAAATGAAACCACCACTGTGCTTATGATCTTACTTCAGCTTTACAGACCTTCAAAAGTTCATCAATAAAAGGACTGGTCATAAGATGACTTTGTCAGCCCCATTACAATGGCAAACAGTTGTTAAACAAGACAGTTGCTAAATGAAGATTCCCTGTAGGTGATGTGGAAAATACAGGTAGATATTATTCTCCCGTTAGAACTCAGAGTCATCTCTAAAGGTATAACCAAAAAACAAAACAAAACACTTTTTACATAAGATGGACTTAAATTGTAGAAGCTGCTGCCGTCAGATACAGCAATGGTCCCTGTAGTATTTTAAAAGAAGCCTTGAACAAATTCATAGAAAGATTTCATGTCAGGCTGTCTGGTCATTCACCTAGCCTGAAAGTAACTCTTTTCCAAGCTCTACTGTTCTCACGGGGTTCTCTTGAGCAAGATTTATTGAGAAGAAAGTTGTGGAGTTAAAATAATTTAATTGTTTTCATTCTAGAACCAATTTATGGCAAAAGTACAGTAGTGGCCAAAATTGTGGAAACCTTTTGGAAAAAGTGTATTTTCTAAAACTAGCTAACACCACTTTTTGGGGGAATAATACCATAAAATTATATATCAGTGGAAAGATAATTTAATCAAGAATGTAATGCAAAAACATTTATGAAGGATTTGCTATTAGAATAGCAGTTACAGTATAAAAACGAAAAGTGAATCACGTAGAAAAAATGAGATACACAAAAATTATCACCATGTCAGTAAATCCTTAGTTGGGTAACCTTTAGCATGAATGACGGCCTTACAACATTTTCCCATGGAGTGAACCAAGTCTTTTGGTTCTGCAGCTGTTCTAATGTGAAACCAAGATTTAATGATGGCTTCTATTAACTGGGTTTTATTGCTGGGTGGCTTCTGACTAACAAGTTTCTTTAGTTGGCTCCATAGATTTTCAATTGGGTTAAGGTCTGGGCTATTCCCAGGCTATTCCAGCAGTGGAATAGGATTATCTTGAAACTCCAAAAAAAGTGGTGTTATTAGCCATCAAATCTAAAAATACACTTTTCCCAAAAGGTTTCCACAATTTTGGCCATTACTGTAGGCTAGCAGGTAAACTTCATTGATCTTTCTAATTGTCATTCTCTGACCCGAGGTGGCAGAGGAATTCTGGGAGCTGAAGTCTACCCATCTTAAAATTGCTGAAGGTTCAGAAACACTGCTTTGGGATAATGTGAAGTTTGATTTGGAGTTTCAGTTTCAACAATACAAGAAAGTACAGGAATAAAATACATATCTGGTAAATAAGAGATGTACATTCTTGCACCTTTTTATACAAAGTCACTTTACTATTGCAATCAATAGATCCTCTCAATCTCTGATAATGCAATGTTTGTGTGTGTGTGTGTGTGTGTGTGTGTGTATGAGGCACAGAGAGACAGATAGATACACGGATAATCTATATTGCACTACTTAAACTGTTATTTAGAGGGCTCTCCAGATGTTGGGTGAGATGCTGTAAGAGAATGAGGAAATAACCTTTGTAAGGTCCTAGAAGTTTCCCTGAGCCGCTGAGATGCCAAAGAGAGTGAGACTCCAGATGAGGCTTTCAGAAAATAACAGCTTTTTTATTTATGGCCAAAGTAAACAGGCTGGGTGACAAAACTATATCCAAAACATACAGACAAAATGCATGTATGGAATAGCCACACCCCTGTGAGAATGGCTCAGAGTATTATATATATTTTACACCGTTAGAAACAAAGTTTACCCAATCAGAGATAAAGGTTCCTTACCAATGTGGTCTTTAAAGCGTTCTTTGTTCAGGCCCCTGTCTCTGTCCACTTTATTTATGGAGATTTCCTATAGCCTTGTGTAGGGGTGCTTTCCCTCCCTGGCCAAGTTGTTTATTCAGCAGAATGATTTCAGGATTCAGAATCTATGAGGCAGGAAAACTCCCTAATCTGGTTCCTTTATCTATGGGACCTGATATTCCTGGGCTACAGTTTCTTCTATATTTTCAAGGATGTGCCTAGCTTTGAAGCCAAGAACAGAAGCGAGACACAGAAGCAAGATAACAAACTTTGTACTAATGCTAACCAGTATCCAGGGTTGGTATTCACTTATCTTTGCTATCGGTTTGCAAATGTAAGCGTGTGCCTTCCACACGTGCCTTCCGTGCATGCACAGAGTGTCAAAAACGGGACATGATGACGTCTGGGTGGGTGGGCGGAGTCTCCCGCAGCCGCTGCTACTGGTTCACTCGAACCGGATAGAACTGGCTGAATACCACCACTGCCAGTATCAAGGCTACAATTTACTGAGCTAGAATTAGTTCCTAACAACTACCGTATTTTTCAGACTATAAGACACACCGGAATATAAGACACATCAAGATTTCGAAGAGGAAAACAAGAAAAAAAGTTTTTGGCCTCCGCATGTCCGGTTTTTGCCCTTCCCGGTCCCCAGGAGCACTCTGCAGGCCTCCCAAACCCTCTGCGCATCCCGTTTTTGTGAAAAACAGGCCTACTTTTGGCAAAAACAGGACACACGGGGTGGGGTTTCGGAAGGCCAAAAATGGCTCTATTCAGTGTATAAGACACACCAACATTTCCACCCTCTTTTAGGGGGGGGGAAGTGTGTCTTATACTCCACAAAGTATGGTAATTTCTGACAGTATACATCAGTGATGGCTAACCTTTTTGCTGTCGCGTGCCAAAAGTGGGGATCATGCGGGGAGGGGGGTCACGCATGCGTGTGCCCATACCCATAATTCAATGCGCCCCACCCCCCACACATGCGTGTGTGACTCCCTTCTGCGCTATCCCCACTTTTGGCACGTGATGGCACGGTGGACACGGTAGGCCCGTTTTCTGCCCTCCCCAGGCTCCAGAGGCTTTCTTGGAGCCTGGGGAGGGCGAAAACGGCCTTCCATCCCCCACCCAGGAGGCCCTCCGGAGGCCGGAAACAGCCCATTTCCCGACTTCAGGTCGGCCCGGAAGGCCCGAAAATAAGCTGGCTGGCGCGCATATGCATGCTGGAGCAGAGTAGGCCAACGCTCGCGTGCCCACAGATATGGCTCCGTGTGCCACCTGTGGCACCCGTGCCATAGATTCGCCATCCCGGGTATACAAAAAGAGCCTTGATAGTACAGTGGTTTAATGCACCCTGTTATTAACACAGCTGCCTGCAATTTACTGCTGGTTCGAATCTCTCCAAGGCTCAAGGTTGACTCAGCCTTCCATCCTTTCTAAGGTAGGTAAATTGAGGACCCAGTTTGTGGGGGCAATAAGCTGACTTTGTATAAAATATACAAAAGAATGAAGGCTATTGCTTAGCGCACTGTAAGCCGCCCTGAGTCTCCGGAGAAGGGCGGCATATAAATCAAATTAAAAAAATAAATAAATAATATAAGCAGAAGCCAATAACAAAGCTTAATTCCTAATAAATGATTTCCATCAGTATATCATATCACAAGCAAACAGCAAATATTGGTTTGATCGTTATGTTCCTTCACCTTGATGAAAGGATTAATGAGCTGCCAACATTATGTCTGGTTTTGATAATATAAAGATTGCTTTGACTCCTTTCCCCATATAATACAGGCGGCTCTCAACTTACAGCCATTCGTTTAGTGACCGTTCGAAGGTACAATAGCACTGGAAAAAAGTGACTTATCACACTTACGACTGTTGCATGTGTTCAAAATTTGGGCGCTTGGCAACTGGCATGTATTTATGATGGTTGCAGTGTCCTAGGATCATCCAATTACTTTTTGCGAGCTTCTGACAAGCACGAGGAAGCCACATTCACTTAACAATACAGTGGCTAACTTAACAACTGCAGTGATGTACTTAACAACTGTGGCAAGAAAGGTCATAAAATGGGGCAAAACTCACTTCACTCAAGAAATCCTTGACTTACAACCCTTTCGTTTAGTGACCATTCCAAGTTACAACAGCACTCAAAAAAAGTGATTTATGACCATTTTTTTCACACTGATGGCCGTGGTCATGTGATCATGTGGCATTTATGACGGTTGTCACGCGATCCACCTTTTGTGACCTTCTGAGAAGCAAAGTCAATGGGGGAAGCCAAATTCACTTAGCAACCGTGTTGCTACCTTAATTGCCTCGATTCCTTTAACAACTGTGGCAAGAAAGGTCATAAGACGGGGCAAAACCTTGTTGCTAAGCAACGCGGTTATAAACTGCAATGTTACACGACTGCCCCACTTAGTGGTGACAGTTTCAGCAGTCCCAGTTGCTGTTGTTAAGCGAGGACCTCGCACGATCACAACTTGTGACTTCCTACCCGTTTCCCCATTGACTTTGCTTGTGGGAATCTGGCAATCAAGGTCCCAAGTCATGTGACTATGGGAAGCTGCAAGTGTCATCGTGATGAGCTGGTTGCTAGGCACCCAAATCACAGTCACAAGACTGCAGAGACCCTGTGAAGGCTGCAATTTGGGCATAAGTTTCTTGTTCAATGCCGTTTCCACAGTCACTGAATGAATGGTCATTAAGTGAGACTTCCTCTGATGATTTTTCTTTCCCTGTTTTTTTTTTTTTGCAGCTGTCCATGCCGTCAATAACAATCCAACATATCCCCCATTTCCCGAAGGAATGCAAATGGCAATATTTGGTGAGTGATGATTGTCCATGGCCAGATTTAATTACCATATTTTTCGGAGTATAAGATGCTCTGGACTATAAGACACAACTACCTCTTTTGGTGAGGAAAACAAGAAAAAGAAATCTGCCTCTGCCTCCCAGCAATTTTGCCTCGTTGCAGCAAACAGCAAACAGCCTGCTTTACTTTCATTTTCATTTTCAGCATAGCTTGATCAGCACAAGAAAAAAAAACTGCTCCCAGCAATTTACCTTCTTGCAGCAAGCAGCAGAGGCCCGTGCACCAATAGTCAATGGCAATCCTTGCAGCCTGAAACAGCTGAGAGTTGGGTGCCCGATCCAAGGGACAATCAACTTGTGCTAATTAGGCTGTGCTAAAGCTGAAATGGGCTGTTTCTTCTTCTGCTTGCTGCAAGGAGGTAAATTGCTGGGAGGCAGAGGCCAAAGGGTGGGGGCCAGTGGGTGAGCGGGGCTACATTTGGTGTATAAGACACACCCACATTTTCACCCCCTTTTAGGGGGAAAAAAGGTGCGTCTTATGCTCCGAAAAATATGGTACGCCCCTTTCCCTGCCACTTGGGGTTCTTTTTTTTTTTTAAAAAAAATACAAATAATAGAAACATAATACATATACATCTAAATACAAAAAAAGAAAGAAAAAGGAAACAAAACAAAACAAATGTTACAGTGTACTCCTCCCCCCCCCCCGAGACCATTTCCCCCCCCTTATATTTGTTCATCTATAACAATTAAAAGTTGTACAATATGTTTCAATTGTGCCCTTATCCCCTCCAAAACAACATATTTTCTTGAGTAGGTTTATTCCCTTTGCCTTCCACCAACACTGATTTTATAAAATGCCCCCATATTTCATTAGCCACTTGGGGTTCTGATCCTGGATTCTAATTTTAACGAGGAAGTAAAATTTCTGGAACCAGCAACAGAGAAATAATGTAGCTGATGCCTTGCTGTTACATGCATGGCTGCCTGGCTGGGGAATTCTGGGAGTTGAAGTCCCCAAGTCTTAAGGTCGCTGAGGTTCGACACCTCTGACATAGAACATCTTCATGATTCACTTATTAAGATGGCTTTTCTTTTTCTTTGCTTCTTTCACAGGCATGGGATGTTTCTGGGGAGCAGAAAAAATGTTTTGGAAACTGTCGGGGGTCTTCTCCACACAGGTGGGATTCTCAGGAGGCTTCACCCCCAATCCTACCTACCAAGAAGTCCTCAGCGGTAAGTCTTCTGGAGAAGAATTCTGGGTGGAATCTCTTTTCTCCGTGGAAGAGATTGGAGGGCTTGTACATACGAGACTCACGGCCTTTACTTTCTCTCCAGTTGAAACAAAAGAAAATAAGTTGAGACTCACTTGCCTGGGTTTTCTGATTTTCAACTTTATACCGGTGTGCAGGGGTGAAATGCTCCCGGTTCAGACTGGATCGCCCGATCTGGTAGCAATGGTGGTGGGTGGTTCGGAGAACCGGTAGCAAAAATCCGTGCGCCCCCACCACCACCACCATGCCCAGTTGAGCTGCACGATCATCAGAGGCTTTTTTCTTTTTACTTTTAAAAGCATTTTTTCTACAACCTCTTCTGCCAAAAAAATGTTTTTAAAAGTAAAAAAAAAAAAGCCTCTGATGATCTCGTGGCTTAGCTGGGATCGTCAGAGGCTTTTCAAAGCATTTTTTTCTGCAACCTCTTGGCCGAAGAGGTGATAAAAAAAATGCTTTGAAAAGTCTTTGATGATCCCAGCTGAGTTGCCTGATCGCAGAGGCTTTTCAAAGCATTAGAAAAAATGCTTTGAAAAGTTTTTTTTTTAAAAAAAAAGTTGGCCATGCCCGCCCAGTCACATTACACCCCCACCCCCACCAAGCCACGCCCACGGAACCGGTAGTAACACATTTTACATTTCACCTCTGCCGGTGTGGTTGTGTGACACTGCACGTTTCACCCAGTCAGTTTCAAACCAGGCTTGTGCAAAACTTTGGATTTAGTTCCAAAAAAAAATATGTTGCTGAGTTTATAGGATGGCATCACCTACTACCCAACACGTTGTTGGGGGCAATATGCTTACTCTGTAAATCGCTTAGAAAGGGCTGTAAAGCACTGTGAAGCGTATATACTGTAAGTCTAAGTGCTGTTGCTATTGCTGCTTCTTAAAGCAGCTACATCGTTTGATGACCTCATATTGAGTTTGTCCACACAATTTTTCGTACAAACCTAGCGGTTACCTTTGAGTCACACACTAACCATGCTTAGTGTGTTATTCTAAGCCTTCTTCTTCTTCTTGTGTCATATCCATCATCAGATGTTGGCGATCATATTGCCAATTCTATTTTTGTCAAGAGCCGTATGAAAAAGGGCTGCTGAGTTTTGTCCAAACCAGGCCCTAAGGTTTTGAAGCCATGACATTCTTCTTCTACCTGGACCTAATTTGCCTTCAATCTTTCCCTGGAGGATTAAGTGCTTAATGCATTGTAAGCTGCCCTGAGTCTCCAGAGAAGGGCGGCATATAAATCAATTTTTTTTTTTAAAAAAAAGTGAAGGATGCCGTATTTTTTTGTGTGTCGCATCACATGTCCAAAATATTCTAACTTTCGCTTTTTAATGGCTTTGATGATTTCCCTTGGCTTTCCCAGGCAGCTTGTCACCTCCTCATTTGTGATTTTGTTAACCCAGCTTATACGTAACAGTCATCTGTAAATCCACATTTCAAACTCTTCTAGTTTCTTCAAGTGGTTTTCTGTCAGAGACCAACTCTCTACTCCGTAGAGCAGGATAGAAAAGATGTAACATCTGACAAGCCTGATTTTCAGTCTTAGGCTTCTAAGCCTGGTTAGTTTTAATTCTGGTAGGGGTTTATGTTTGTATATAGTTTAACCTTTGGTACTGTACCTATCCAACCATTGCTTCATTTAACATTTAAGGTCAGATCTTTATTCTGGGGAATTCTAGAATGATCTGGAAAATGCTAGAATGTTCCCTTCCCCTTTGGACGATGATGGACCTCCAGCTAGACTGTGCAGTTCCTGGATCGGTGAATTTTGTACCTCCTTAGAGGCAGAATTGCCTTTTATGAACCTCAGAGAGGAACACTGGCCTTCCCTAGACAAATGCGTCTATTGGCAGAGTTAATCCTCCCTCCCCAATCTGGATCCCGCAGAAATCAGAGCAAACAGTTTTGCAGCTTAACTGCAAAAGCATTTTAAATGTGGGTGTGGAACATTATCTGTCTGAAAGAAACATTCTCCACATCTGTCATCTACATTCTGGGTATTAAGACAATATTAAGGAAGGGGGGTTGGAGGACAATCTCTTTGCTTGCTGACACACAAATACACACACACACTCACCTTACTCTCCAAAACAATCTGTCAAATCTGCAAATCGCATTTATATCTCCCAATCTTTGTCTCATTTTTAGATAAAATCTGGGATGCACTGATTGGGGTGCTGGAGGCAACAAAGCAGGGAGCCAGATTCTCCCCCCCCAATCTTATAAGTCAGGTATCCCCAGTGGTAGTATTCAGCTGGTTAGCACTGGTTCAGGCGAACCTGTTGTTAAATTATCTTCCTCCCCCTCTGCTATCGAAGTGGATCCTGGGCACTGCGCTGCAATGCAGAAACGGGCAACGGAGTGGCCAGTGAGAGGGAAGGAGAACGCTGCTTTCTTTCTTTCTTCTCCCTGCTCTTCCTCCTCCCCTCATGCCAGCTGCTCCATTGCCCATTTTTCCATTGCAGCACAGTGCCCAGGATCCACTTTGGTAGTGGGTGGGAGGGTAATTTAACAACCAGTTCACCCAGGGTCAGGCTGGCCATTGCGGGAGGCTCGTCCCGCATGTGTGACTGAGCTGGAGGACGGGGGTGGGCCGTGCCTCTCACGACAGCCAACCTGTGTCAGACTTCGATGCTATCTCAAAATAAATGAATTTCCAAACTGCCAATCTTTAAGGAAATCTTCTCTTTATTTGAGCACAGCAACCGGATCATGACTCGATGCGGACAAGACTGACCTTTTGCCCCCCAATCCCTCCCTTTCCGATCCCCAATTCTCTGCTTCTCATTGGCTATCTTCCAAGTCATTCTCCTGACTTCTTGTCTCGTCATTTCACAGGAATGTCCCCCCTTCCCCTTCATTTCCACGGAGACCGAGCTTCAAAGGGATTTAGCAGGCAAAAGTCCAGAGCTTATCTTCCTTTCTATGTCAGTGGTGAGATGCTGACAACCTGATCCTGAGTGAACCAGTTGTTAAATTATTCGAATCCCACCACCCAACCATCCGATCCACAGCCTGGTACCAGTCTGTGGCCCATTGGGAACCAAGCAACCGTGCATGCAGCGGGCCAGCATGCAAGCGCGTGAAGCTCTATTTGTGGAAGTGGCAGCCGTGGTGGGTTGCTTCCGGTCCGGTCCGGTTCTATAGAACCGGTTGTAAAACCGGCAGGAGGCTCTGCCCACCTGCCATGACATCATCATGGGTGATCTGCACATGTGCAGAAGCTTCTGCACATGCGCAGAAGGACGTGCGCCAGGGGTGAGTTCTACTTACCTGTACCACCAGTTCGCAACGAGATCGCGTGCGCGTCTTGCTTCTGTGCATGTGCACATCGCTGATGATTACATCCGGGGCGGTGGGCGGGGTCTCCTGCCGGTTTTAGTACCGGTTCTTGCGAACTGGTCTGAACCAGGGGCAACCCACCACTGGCATGTGCATGCACACAAGGAAAGCAAGCAAGCACGTGTGGTCCCGTTGCAAACCGGTAGTAAAGGTAAATAAAACCCACCCCTGAGTGGCAGGTGGACATGCAAAACCACCCCCTCTCGTCCCTGCCACCACTGCTGCTCCATTCGCAGAGCCAGAAAGGTTGGAGATGGCAGCTATAAGCTCTTGTGAATGGAGCATAATATCCTGCACTTAATTATAGAGTAACCAAGCACTGGACACGTAAATGTCCTATATACAGATAGTCCTTGATTTACAAAACCACAACCACGAGCAGAATTTCTGTGGTTGAGCGATGGCATTTATTAAGTCAGTCACACCCAATTTTACAATCTTTTTTTTTTTTTTTGGCCAAAGTTGTTAAGCAAACCACCGCAGTTGTTAAGCGAATCAGACAGTTGTTAAGTGAATCCAGTTTCCCACCATTGACTTTTTGCTTGCTGGAAGGTTTGCAAATGGCGATCACATGACCCCAGTTACCAAGCATCCATTTTTTTTCAGTGCTGTTGTAACTTAAAATGGACACTAAATAGAGCCTTGGTAGTACAGTGGTCTAAGGCACCCTGTTATTAAGACCAGCTGCCTGCAATTACTGCAGGTTTGAATCTCGCCAAGGCTCAAGGTTGACTCAGCCTTCCATCCTTTCTAAGGTAGGTAAATTGAGGACCCAGATTGTGGGGGCAATAAGCTGACTTTGTATAAATATACAAAAGAATGAAGGCTATTGCTTAGCACATTGTAAGCCGCCCTGAGTCTCCGGAGAAGGGTGGCATATAAATCAAATTTAAAATAAATAAATAAATAAATGGTTTGTAAATCAAGGACTACTGGTAATCTGAGGTCCGTCATTTCCTTGGCTTCTCGTGCTTTAGTAGGGGAAATTCATCTTACTAAGTTTTTATGGAAGCTCCTGCTGACACGATTAGAAGGATGTCCTTCTTCCCTTGGAAAAATTATAGACACCTGCACACAGAGAGACAAATTCCCTGCCCACTAATTCGAGGGTGAATTTTAAAAGGACTCTGGTATTCAGTGTAAAGTGGCAATGATCTTGAGCTAAATGGCAAAAGGGAGAATTGCCACCAACTTCCATTACAAAAAAAGGATAACAGAGATAATTCCTTCTCTCATTTAACATTTTCATTTTCCTGCTAGCATGAATCTCCTTTAAGAGCCTTGTCATTGACTGTTTGCTGAAAGGGGAGGGAGAAGGAGGGGCTTTCAAGAAACCAGAACATTCCTGCAGCAGATTTGACTTTGCCCAACGGAGATTATGCCAACCTTTCTTAATTCAGTTTGAGGCAATTAACTCACGTAGGAAGAACACGGTTAGCACCCCACAGATACTTTTTTTCAAGAGGCAACTGGATTTTCTTTGTTTTTCCTTGAAGACATGACACTTTTCATCCAAGAAGCCTCTTCAGTTCTGATTGAATGGTGGAGAATAGAAGGATTTATTTATTTTTATTTTTTTAAAAAATTTGATTTAAATGCCGCCCTTCTCCGGAGACTC